AAATAAACATAAATATAAGAGTTCTTAGCTCTTTAAGTTCCGCTCGAGTAGTGTAAAAACACGATAGCCCCCATTCACTCCGAGAACAAGCATTAAATGATAACGCATAGATCTGTTTACAATGATAACTACTGAAATCGAATAAATATTTTGTATAGTTTAATGAAATGAAATTTCAATAATGATTTAGGTAATATCCTAGCTACTATTAAAACGATACCGTAGTCTAACTGTGAATAGTTTCACTAGAAGATATTTTGGTAACATTTCGCCAACAAATTGGTTTTTTCTGCTCTCTCTGTGTGTGTGTGTGTGTGCGGGTGTATTGTGGGCCAGCTGGGTCTCATTTGTATGCAGTGTGACTAGGCGGATGGTTAAATTGCCAGAGCATACTTATGCGCTGGGGCTGCCGAGTCGTGGCAGTCAAATAAATGGTGCATTTATTTATTTAAACTATTCCGGCGATATCAGCCGATGTGGCCTTAGCCACACGGCACACCGACGGCTGCTGGCTGCAGGCTGCTGGCAGCTGGCCGCGAGCGAGGCTAGGCTTTTATTTGTCGGCTATCGCTTAAAAAGCTCGCTCCAGGAGCATGTCCGCCTCGAACGAACGATGCGCGTCTCTTCAACTTCAGAGTGTGTTAGTGCATGTGTGTGTGTGTGTGTGTGTGTGTGTGTGCTGGCATATGTGCCTGTGTTAGTGTTGAAGTTGCTCGTCGCTTGTCGTCCTCGTCGTCGTCCGTGGTATCAACAAGGACATTCGACCTACTGTTGATTGCGCACCGAAGCTTTTCAGTTGATTTTGAGACCGTGCCACGTACGGAACACGAGGGCTGCCGATACGCCGGAGTCCAATAGCGAGCGCCCAGCATGCAGCGTGTTTTTTAAATTCAAAGAAGAAAAAAAAAAAACGTAAAAAAACAGAAAAACAATCTCTTTTTGTTGCTGTTGCTTTACCCGTTGGCCACTTCTATCACAACAGCGTGTGTGCTGCGTGCGTGTGTGCGTGTGTTCGTGTGTGTGTGTGTGTGCTCCGTTGCCGTCCGGCTCGACAAGGTATATTATTCCAGCAATTGCAGACTCTCAACTATTTAATTCATTCAAGTCATTTGCATTTTTTTTTTTTTACAAACTATTTTTTTGTTGTGTGAAATGTGTTTTGTGCTAAAAAAAAAAAAAAAAAAACATGAGCAAGAAATGAAAAAATAAAATAAATAAATTTACAGACATCAGGCGATGTCAGTCGAAAGCAAAGCGGCTGCTATATTGATAAAGCCACACACACAAAACTTAATAAAATACACACACACACACGCACACACAGAGTCAGAGACAAACATAACAGAAGAGAGACACTGGCAGACAAATACAGCGACAGACGGACGAGGCGACAGACGCTGGGGGAGACCGCACTGAAAAACGAGTCTGACAACTTAACGACTTACTTAGTCAAATAAAGAGCGAGGTACGACGACACAAAATAACATGGCCCAAATATGGGCAGTGTGGCGGTGGGCGTGGACAGTGTGCTAAGGGGGGTGTGGTGAGGAATAGGTGCCAGGCTAGGCTGCCAGATAGAGACAGATAGTTGTGAGTTGGCCAAATGCTGCTTAAGTTGTGTAAGGAGACGGCCTAATGGACTGCCCAGGCAAGCCATAAAGGGTAACAGTCACAGCCACACACACACACCTACACACACACACACACAGACGCACATCTATACAGTTGTCTGTTCAAATATTCAGGCCTTTATTTTTTTTTATTCTTTGCGTGTTTCTCTCAAAGCAAAAGGTGCGATGCTGGCTTTGGTCCTTTTGCTCTTTACGCTTTGGCTTTGCTGCTGTTGCGCTTTGCTGCTGTCTTTGCCATTGTTGTTGTTGTTGTAAGATGGTCGATGGTCGCTGGCCTACGAAATTGAATGAATATAATCAAATCAGACTGAAGGAGGTTATGTAAATGCTTTCGCTCACGTTTGTCGACAGCATCGCGCTGCCTGCTCTCATTCGCGCCGCCACTCCCCATAGCACCCACTATAAAAACTTGTACATATATATCTCTCTCTGCTTGTATGTGTGTGTGTGTGTGTGTATTATGGCAAAAACTTGTATCTAGCAGTTTGCTGGCGTTGTTTTTCATCCGAGTTGCTGTTGTTTGGGATTTTGCATAATTTAAAGCGCAAGTTAATAGCCAAACACATGTGTTGAAACATTTTTGGTGCGCTCCTAGGGGGTGCGGCATGGTCATGTGTGTGTGTGTGTGGCTGGGTATTCACTTGGAATGTTTGAACTTTAAACAACAGTGAAAAGTTTTTGCTGTCGCATCCGCAAGACTATTAGCTGGACTTTATTTTGGGTACTAATAATTTCAATGGGCGAGTGAGTTAGTTGTGCAGAGTTGAGCAGCCACAGACTTATATGCGATATACGGCATGTGCAGCAATGACAACAACGACAATCAATCTCAACTAAAGCACACACACACATGTCGCACACACATCGCATTCACTTTGAATGACAGACAGACATAGTCAGGATAGGAATTTGCAATTTGCATTGCAAGACATTTCTCAGCGAACACTGAACAAGAAATTGAAAAAAAAAAACCAGAAAAAAGTGCAGAATAGAATAAAATAGAAAAAAAAGTAGAAAATTGAACCTGAAGACTGCAATCACAGCTAAAGAGCAAAAATTGCACAAAAAGCCAGCCGTATGCGGCCTTTGGCTCTTTGCATAGCATTTGGCCAAGTCCCAACGGCACCCACGACCTCTTGGCAGACCCGAAAAATACAAAGACCAGGCACACACAATACACACCTAAATTAGGCACGGGACAGGGGCGTGGCACTGGGGTGCCTGAATATCGCAATTAGCTGGAGCCATGGAGCGGCCCAACATGTGCCATGCGAATAGTTTACGGCTGCGGAATTCCATTGAAGGAAGCCGTGGAACGTAGCACTAATGGCGGAATACGGGAAGAACAGTTAAGCTCTAAGCTTTAGGCTAATGAAAATGGGATTTTTGGAAAATGAATTCAAAAATCATTATAAATGAATGCTCGGAATATAAGGGTATTGTATTAAAGTATGGGTTAAAGCACATCATTTTTGTATATACATATATATACTTTATATATATTTTGCGCAGCTAATGAGCATTAACTGGCGAATTCGTCGGGTCTGTTTGTTTGTCATTCCATCTAATTGCATCTCACATTTCCTTTGCACAACTATTTAAACACCATTTGCTCATTGCTATTGCTGGAGTTCTTAGGTCATGTTTGAGCAACTATTTCCAGAGAGAAAGACAGAGTTCTTCGGTTTCGTGCTTCCGTCTTTCTGTCCAACCTTCGTCTGTACCTACTCCTCCGTACTTCTGCACGTCTCTCTGTCGCCCGCATGCTTATCCGTCTGTTCGTCCGTTTATCTATTTATCCATTCCTCCGTATATCCATCCATACGTCGCTCCATATATCCGTCCGTCTTAACATATATCCGTCTATCCATTTATCCGTCCGTCCTTCTGCCCATATGGTCATCCGTCCCTCCGTCTATTTGACCGTCCACTTCTCCATCTGTCCTTCCATCCATCTATCCGTCCGCCCCTCTATATATGCGTCCGTCCCTCCATATACATTTCTGTCCGTCCATTCGTCTATCCGTCCGTCCATCTATCTATCCGTCTATCAATCTATCTATCCGGCCGTCCATCCAGCTATCTGCCTGTCGGTCTGTCTGTCCGTCAGTCTATTCATCTATCCGTCCATTCATCTATACTACCATCTGTCTTTCGGTCTACCTATCCGTCCGTCTGTCTGTAGATTTGAACGAAAACAACTTTATCGCAATGAAAACTATTGACTTCAAATTTGATACACTCGTATACCCATTGACACCCTCGTCTTATAGAATATTAATATTGTCCGGCTACACCAACTCAAGGTGTGTCAAATCGGGAAATTCCATGCTAAGATTTAGTTGCACAGAATCTGGGAAAATATACTCGGGAGGCGAGCCCAAGGCCAAAGAGTTTTTGAGATGCTGCTTCTGTATATTCCATAGCATTAGCTCTTATAATGGCATTTTAGATATATGGTAATATTTCCTTCATTGATAGTTCTTATGTTAGCAATCCATCAAGTCATTAGCATTCCATAATGTTTGCAATAGATTCCATTCCCTACACTTGGCTGTGCATTTGATGCTGATTTAATTACCTAAAAGTTGATTTCTCAGCAGTTCTCTCCCTCTCTCTCTCTCTCACACACACACACGCACTCTATTTCACTTAATAAAATGTATATATTTACAAGTCAATGGCTTATAGACTTCCCACCTCCTTTTCCATGTCCTAATGAAGTCCTTTATGGGCACGGCAGCGGCAGTCTGAGTCGTGCACATTAATTAGCCAAATATACTTAACTCGGTTGTAGTATATCTTCTCATACGCACCATTTGATTTAATTATACAAGGCCTGCAACATTTCGGGAGACTGCGAATTGTGTGAATTCCGCATAGTTAAGCGATTGCAAAGATTTTGTCTCTCTGGCTCTTGGCATTCGAGTTATTTGTTAAGCAGCGCTGCCTGCTGCTCAGACAGGTTGAGTGGCTAATGTGTGTGTGTACGTTGGGCAATTTGTTGAGCAACTACGTCAGCGCTGCCTGGGCTGGCAGCCAATGTTAGTGCCTTGGCTGGCTCTGGCCAAAACAAATTGGCATACGAGCTCGTTGGCCAAAGTTCTGGGCCAGTCTTCTAACTTGTTTACAAGTCGTTTGGCAATTATTCAATTAAATGTCGACGCCAGCGGCAATTCTGAGTAATTTTCGACGCACGTAGCGCCCAAAGTTCAAATACATTTAAAGCTAACAGGAAATCGCGTAATGTCGACCGTCTCAATGATAGGGGAGAGTCGTCCTGAGTCGTCCTGAGTTGGGCTGAGTCGAGCTGAGCCACCCGTTGGCCAATTCAGCGTCCTGTACCTGCAATTCGGATTGCTGCTGCCCCAAAGGTCTTAAAGTATGTTCAATTTTCTTTCCTTTTCAATTTCCTTACACCGACACAGACCCGACCAAGCCAGAGCCAGAGCCAGAGCCAGAGCCAGAGCCAGAGCCAGAGTCGGAGTCGGAGCCTTTGGCACAAACAACTTCCGCCAGCAATGTGACTCGAACGATGCTTGGCCAGCTCGTTAGCCATTGCAATTGCATCACAGACAACGTTGTCCGTCCATCCGTCCGTGTCCATCTCAGCCTACGCCTACGCCTCAGCTCGCCTCGCCTCGCCTCTCCTCGCCTCGTCTCGCTTCTGCTTCATTTGTCCTTTTTGTTTACCTACCCGAGCAAGCGCCTGTTTCTAGGCTGACTAAATACATATCTCCATCTACTCTCTACACATCTATATTTATATACTTGTGCTCACATGTAAACATGTATACATACATACATATGTGTGTGTGTAGCCCTGGGTTGTACGGTCATTAAGCGTACATTTCTAATGATCGTTGAACACAGGCGCATGGCTTTAAATTATTTTGTATACATTTTAATTACTACATTAAGAGCTGAATAATTTACACATTAAATGGGTTAGAAGTAAATCTGATGCGAATTACACTGGCGAATTGCTAATTGCTGTTGCTCTCTTCAATATGTGACACGGAAATTATTTAGATTTTACTCTAATTAAGGAAAATGGCTTAGAAGATTAATATTACAAAACAGTAGAAATGTTAAAGGGAGATGGGAGATGGGCAGAATGGGAGATAGAGAGAGAGGGATAGATAAAGATGATGGGGAGACCGAGAGATAGCGAGAGGGAGGCTTAGAGATAGAGAGAGAGAGGGAGAGAGGGAGAACGGGATAGAGATGATGTTGATACCGAGAGATAGCGAGAGGGAGGCTTAGAGACAAAGAGAGAGGGAGAGAGGGAGAACGGGAGAGAGTGAGAGCGAGAGAGGGAGAGAAGCTGAAAATACGTGCAGAGAAACCTATAAAGAGGGGTACGAAGGGACAATCGCACAGAGAGAGTGTGAGAGAGAGAGAAATAGGAACATAGAGGAAGAGAGAGAGAGACATAAAGGAAGAGGGAATAAGTTATATAAAGACATAGATAGTGACAGAGAAAGACAGAGATAGAGAGGGGTAGAGACATCTATATTGATAGGAATAATGTCAAACAGAGATAAAGTGAGAACGAAAGATAGAGATGCAAAGCTAAGTGAAATAGTGAAACAGAATGTGCGTCAGAAAGGGAGATGTGGAATGACAGAGTGGTATAGAAAAAGTACAGAACTAGAAAGAGACAGAGATAGAAACATGCAGAAAGAAAGAAACAGGGAAAGAGAGAGCGAGACAGAGATGGGTGATAGATAGGAAATGAGAGGAATACAGAGACAAAAATCAATGAGATATAGAGATAGTGAGAGATAGAAAGAGAGAAAGTAGTGTCAGAGAGAAAGAGACAGCAACAGCTACAGCGAAAGCGAGAGTTTCAATAGCCAATTTAAAGTCAATTGAAGGCTCATCCAAATTGTATAAAAAGGAATTAAAAAAGTTTGCGCACGAAATTTGCTTGGGAAATTATTTACATTTTAATTACATAACTTGATTGCAAAACTTGTCGTCGTYATCCATACCAGCAGCAGCAGTCTCGGCATTGTCCTTGTCCTTGTCCTGCTCAAACCGCAAAGGTAAAGGAGGCAAACACAGGAGCAAAAGCGTAGCGAAACTTTTCGCTAGCCGTCAACTAGATGCTCTTTGCTCAGACTCCCGCTAATGAAATCTATAAGCAAATTAATTAACAGAGGACTACATATAAAATGACAAGAATTACAATATAAATTTACCATAAAATTCCGTGAGATTTCATAGGAACTGCATAATTTTGTAAGCTGCCTGGTTAGAGAATTATGAATAGCTGAGCGGCAGAGTAGACTAGGTTGACAAAGTGACTGAGTGAATGAGTGAGTGAGTGAGTGAGTGAGTGAGTGAGTGAGTGAGTGAGTGATGCCAGCTCCTTTTGGCATTCGCTGGTATTGTGAGATGTCCCTGGCTGTTGACGTAGTCAGCAGCTTCTTGTTTTTGGCCTGGGCGACACACACACACACACACACATAGACACACACACACAACTGGCTCTGACATGCTTAAATATCAAAGTAGCTTTTGCTATTCATCAGCGCGCCTGACGCTCGGGGGGCTGTGGCGTTGGCTGTTTCTCCGGCCATGGCAGGTGCAGCCTGGGACTGCGGCGGCGGTGGCGCATGATGGATACCGTTGCGCCGTGACAATGCGCCTTGTGGCAGCAGCAGAGCAGCAGCAGCAGCTCAGCAGCAGAGCCGCTGATATGTTCGTGCGTCTCTATCTTTAATCTCTCTCTGTCATTTGTGTCCTTTCAGATCTAACCACTGGCAAATCGGGATAAGACACGCCCCGTCCAATTACCTGTTAATATTAACAGGCGGCCCCCCAACTGGCTGACCCACAACTGGCTGAGCGGGCGCACTCATCTCTCAGGGGCACACACCAAGCAACAGCAGCACCACAACAGCCGCACAATGGGCAAGAAGAACTCCAAATTGAAGCAGGATACCATTGATCGTCTGACAACGGACACATACTGTGAGTACCAGCCCCTCTCCCCCTCCCCCTCTGCCACTGTGGGCCCACAAATCATGTGGGGTGCGTGCCAGCCTTGAACTCTATATGAATTATTGTGTCGAGCATTAAAAACTCTTGAAAGCCATTTTGGCAGCTCAAACGTGCGCAAGTTTTTCGCAGATAAATACGAACCAGAGAGGAGGACGAAAATTCGACTGTGTTTCTGCCATGTTGCATTTAAGTGCTGTCCGCATCCCTCTCAAGTGCCAATGAGGGTCTGGCTTTTTTTTTTCTTTTTCTTTTTATAGCTATTTTCGAATTGGTAAACCCCTCTCGGACCGAACAGAGTCATACGAATTAGACCGCTTTTCATATGCTCCAACCAAGAGTATATGAAGCAATTGATTTCCTCCACTCAAGTTGTCAGCTCGAGATGTTTCAAAGATTTATCATTGACCACGCAGGAGGTCTTAAATCATTTTTATATCCTTTAAGTCAATCGGATTCAATCAAGTCTGCATAATGGAATACACTCGAATATGAATTCGATTGAATTTGTGCGAATTTGATCAAGAGATCAAGTGTAAGATGAAAGATATCTTGCATTAGGAAACAATCTCTTAAATTGTGAATAGAGAATATTGTACCATCTGCTCAGTTTCAAGGCGCTTAAGATTCCGAATTCTTTTGAGGAGGAAATGAAAGAGGTATATATATGAGATTTTATATACCAAATATAGTGGTTCTAGCTCTTAGGACTTTTGAAATATATTTGAATAGAATTGAATTATAGCTTTATATGAATCTACTAAAAGTTTCGATTGTTTTTTCGTAAAACTTGACTTTTTTCATACTATAAAGAGACGAACAGACATGTGGCAGATAGACGTACGAAATGTTGGTTACTTAGAGCTCGGCTGCTAGCTAGGACTGAGGATTAAAAGTCTTTATGCCACTGCCAAGTCATCAGCCCTGGGTCAAGTCATTAGATCAGCATTTAGTTATATCAATTCAATATTTCCCACTAATCGCCCGAGATTTCTATGGCTTTTGGAATCATTTAGTTAAAGTTGAGTTTGTTGCCTGTTGAGAGCCACAAGCAGCTAGAGTTTTTTGAGTTGGTTATGTGAATGAAATCAGTTGTTCTCTTCATATGAAACATTTCTTGGAACTCCGACAAATTGGACGTGAAGTTCGTCAGCGACATGTGAGTTTTTGGCCGAGTGCTCCATTACTGTTTGCCAGCAGCAGATGGAAACTTTTTTTTTTTACTTCTTCCTCTGCTGCTGCTTGTCGTTGGCCTGGCGGGAAGGAGGGGCGGGGCGCCTTGGCGCTTTGTGCGAGCTTAGTTTATGGGAGCATTGGTACAAATGTTCCATACATATACTACTTTCCAACAGTTGCACATGGCAAAAGTTTCTGAGTGCACTCGGCCTGTGCCTGTGCCTGTGCCTGTGTCTTTGCCCCCAGCCCCCTCCCCATCACCGTCCATGGCGGGCCATTGCATTCGGATTGCTGGCTTCGATTCACAGTCGGTTCATGAGCTTTAAGAGCTTAGGAGTATTCTTTATTGTTCATTGGCCAGAGTGGCCATATTATTGGCAATCCCCGTTTGATTCAAGTGCCGAATGCTCCACTGGGCTGTATTTCAATCGAGCTTTGATCCCACTAAATGTTTCAAACTCAGCTAATACTCTGTGTTTATTCAAAATGAGCTTAACAAGTGCGATCGATGTGTTTTACTAGCCCAGTGAGGTTGAATCATTTACTGTGTGGTTGATTGACTCGTTGACCAACTGTGTGGACTGATTGACTGGCTAATTAACGAAGGATTGGTTGATTGAAAGACTAGCTCTGGGTCACTGACTAACTTATAGATTGACTGTGATTTTGATTGAATCTCTTGCTAACTGACTGAGCTCTGACTCACTGATTAGCGGTCTTTCCAGCACTGATTGGCTGATTCATTGGCTGACTGATTGATTTACTGATTGACAGATTGATTGACCGATTGACTGACTGGTTAACTGACTAACGGATTGACTGATTGATTGACTCACAGATTGACTAACTGCTTGGCTGATTGATTGACTGACTGACTGACGTACTGATTCACTGGCTGATTGACTGACTGACAGACTGATTAAAGCACGGGCGATTGATTGACTGACTGATTGCCTGACTGGTTGACGGACTGATTGACTGACTGATACACTGATTGTTTGTCTGACAGATTAATTGATTGATAGACTGACTGATACACGGGCGATTGATTGACTGACCGATTGACTGACTGGTTGACGGACTTATTAATTGACTAATTCACTGTCTGATTAGTTAACTGATTGACTGTCAGATTGAAAGAATGATAGATTGACTGACTGACTGACTGATCGACTGACAAGCTGATTGACTGTCTAACTTACTAACTAGCTTACTGACGGATTAAATGACTGACTGACTAATTGACTAATAGAATGAATAGGCATTCTGTCTGATTGATTAAACAACCATGAATCATTGATTAACTGACTGACTGAATGATTGATAGACAGGCTGCAAATCAGTCACAGCTCGATGATATTAATTAAAAATTATATCCATTAGTTTGGGGATTCATGCAAATGCTGAACATTTTGTACCCAATGTCACTAGGGGCGCATTCTGAGTGCAGCCAAGGAAAATGTGCGGAAATGTGGCCAAGATTTGATAACTTTGGCAGTTGTTGTGCCCATTGGCAGTATTTCCATCTTCGGGAATGCGAATTTGTCACCCTCTCTGTCACCCCCTCTCTCTCGCTGTATGTCTCGCCTTTATGTCAATTTCTATTTGTGTTATGCTTCACCAAACAGCCGCAGCAAGACGGCGGCAAAACGTTTATAAAACTGAAATGCAGTCAATGTTATGCAGTGGGCCCAGACTCAAACCCAGAGCTCAGAGCCCAGAGCCCAGAGCCCAGAAGAGACCAGTCAGTTCGTGCTTGGTGCTTGTCGCAATGTCATATTGCGCTGCCATTTGAGCTGCATTCATTTGGCACATGCTCTTGTCAGTGCAGAGCCGCAGGGATATGGAGAGGGTCCTGCTGGGGCCTGGCAAGGGTCCTCTCGACTGTACCATGTCGCAAGGTCCAATGTCCTTGTCAACCGGTGCCGCCCGTCAGTTTATTCTGCACGCATTGGCATGCAGTCAGTTCTGGCACTCAAAATTCAATTCGATGTTGAAATTATTATTTCACTTGTTGTATGTGTCGCACATACACACACACTATCTCTCTCTCTCCATCTCTCTCTCTCTCTCTCTCTCTCTCTCTCTCTCTCTCTCTCTATCTCTTGTTCTGCGCCGTTAAATGGCTGCATGGGTATGAGTAGGCACTCAGCTTGTCTCCCCGTGACAGTTTGTTTGGCATTTAGCACTGGAAATCAAACGTATAAAAGCAGCAAGCAACAAGCAACCAGCAACCAGAGCAGTAAAAACACATACAAGCATAGCACAGCCAACCCCCTCCCCCCCCCCCCCTCCCTCACACTGTCCACGCCGCCCCACCCACGCCCCACACTGCAGCCGGCCCTCATCGAACAGCTGCTGCCAATGAATGCTCAAGCGCTTGTTCCTGCCTGCGTTCCCATGCCTGACGCCCATTTCCCTCCCACTAACAATTGCACAGTGGTATGAGGTGCAGCTAACATGGTGCGCAATGCTGTTGAGTTTGTGTGTGTATTTTTTGTTGTTGTTGTATTTTTCAACTACAACATGTTCTGCTTTATTTAACAAGCTTTCTGCTAGCTTTAGTGACAACTTAATCTAGTTTAACATTTGTTATATAATGCAGAAGTTTTTTGCTGGATTTACTATGCGGTGACTAAATGTGATGTGCGATAAAGTCCACTTTTTCAATTATTCGATATATTATTTTATAGACTGCTAGTGAAAAAAAAAAAATATTTTTTTTTTTCTTAGTTCTATTTCCATTTTTCTTTCTTATTTATTTATTTTTTATTAGTTTTGAGTTTCAGTATATTAAGTCATTTGATTTTTATCCGAGTCAGTTGGGATCTATTAAAGTACGATTTCTCTTCTAAATCGCGGGAAAATCTCTCTTTTGTTTTTTGTTTCTTATCTCTAGAACAGCTACAACTCAACTGAACTTACTTCAAATTACCTTTTCGAGGACAGATAGCTATATCTGACTTATCGGATTGGCATTGAGCTCATTAGATACTAGGAATATCAAATCCATACTCAAATTCCACTGTAGCGCAATCAAGCCAACCTCCTTGCCCATATCTCCTATTTCTGTCGCCTTATTCCGATCAACTTTGGCATAATTTTGGCAATTTAACATCTCTTTCAAATTTCACTTTATTTACCACTTAGCTCTTGACACTGTGCATTGCTGCCTGCTCTTGTCGTTGCCCCGCTGACAGCGCCAGTGACGATGCACGGCGTTTGCCCCAGTCACAGTCTGAGCCCCAGTTCCACGACCAGTCCCTGGGCCAGTCCCAGTCCCAGTACAAATACCAATCCCAGGCCAAAAACATGATGCACATGTTGTAAATAATTTGCTAATGGCGCCATTGAAGCTTTCACAGGATGAGGGACAAGTGCTCGAGAGCATTAGCTCTTCCAGTTTTATAGTTCTGAGTGCAACACATAGTCGACTCACAGTCAGTCAGTCAGTCAGGCACTCAGTGGAAGTCTCCAGCAGATTCGCTTGGCTGCACATGGAGAAAGACGGAAAAGGCGTGAGAGGGGGAGGGAGCGAGGGGGGCGACTCTTGATGGCTGATTACTAAAGTGTCAATTATTGTATCGAACCGAAATGAACGTCAAATTTATCGAATTTAACGTCAGATATTAGCAGCGACTACTGCACTGCTGCTTCCAGCTGTCAACTTGGCAGTCTCTCGCTCAATTTCAGCTGTGAGGCTAATGAAATTACTTTTAGCTCGGCGACATCTTTGCTCTCTGGAGCCACTGTCGCTGTTGTGGGAATTGTTTGCGTATTCTCTGACCAATTGGAAT